ATCAGGTAAAAAAAAATATGTTATCGATCGTTTCATCTATTTACATTGTTTGAAGTGCGTGCTGGTGAACGCAACATGCGAGCGAGAAGTCTTTAAACTTTTTTAGGTCTCAAAATGCAAAGGATTTTATTCCCTTAAGTTAGAGAAAAATACCATGAGGAAAATCTTAAAACTGAATATTTTACATCTTGTGGAAAAAATAGTGCGTTTTCATGTAGACTGTGGACCGCAAATTAGGATCGCACTTTTCATAAACATGCAAATTCTGAAGTTCAGAACCCAACCGACGATTGCGTTTTTCGCTGCTGTCAATCATCTTAACGGACTTCTTAGGAAACAAAACTTTACTTCACGGGTTCTAAAGGTCATGGTTTGGGATTTTTGGATTTCGATCCGTTTTGTGTGTTTCTCTGTTTCAAGGTTCGTTGCTTGTGATCGTAATTATGATTGACGGCAGCGATAAACACGATTGTGAAGGTGGCTTTTGAACTTTAGAGTTCGCATGTTTGTGAAAAGCGCAGTAAAGTCTCCGTGCAGTCACTGAGGCTTACTGAGGCTCACTGAGGCTGGATCAGGCGAGATCAGTGGGCAGTTAACTGTCTGTTTTAGTATACTTCTGGTTTTCATACAATACAATATTTCTGTCTAGTGTAAATCAGCTCAGTATGTCGCGTTTTATGCTCGTAGAAGGACAACAACTTTTGGAATTTCCGGTTACGTCAAATTAGTCACGTTATACTGTCACGCTATTTTTTGGGGCACAGAGGGATTGGGGGAGGGGTGCGTGGAAATAACGCAAATTCTTTCCTGTTTAGAATTAATGGCTATCTTGTTTATTTTTATTCGTAATGGTGGAATTTAAAAGTTATTATACAGCCCCCACTTAAAACACTAGACTTGAGATCTGTAAAGCATTTCAGGATCGCTTGACTTTTCTAAGTCGACATATGATAGTTTAGATTAGCTGGAATCTTTCAATTTTGTGAAATTTACTGAGGATATAGAACTGCCGGGCCATTTAGTATTTTGAAAACCTTGACCGGTTACCGGCCATATAGCCACAGCGATTTTTCTTGATTGTAGTAGGAGCCCTTGTCGCTCTCTGCTAATTTCGAAACCCACTCTTTGGCGGCAAAACGATTTTGTCGTCTACTTTTGTCTTGGAGTCGAGTACGAAAACGGACAAGCTCTTTTCTTTCTTTGGAGGCATTCACTTTCAAACTCCAGGGGAAAACAGTGAGCACTATACTTGTAAACCACGATTTCTGTCAAATTGCGTGATTAGGGAATTTAAGATTTAAGACTACGGTTAACGGCTACGGTTGGACGAGTACGCGGGATCTGGGTTGAGCTTTTTTGCGCGTGCGTAAAAGTTATGGGATGGCGTTTTGTTTACCGTCGTGGCTCACTACGGTAAGTTTTGACAGCTTTTCTCGTCGTAGTCAAAGATCTACAACGTGTGACTTCAAAGGTGAGAATTGCGTATGTTACTCAAAGAAATAACACATTTCTTTTTCTTTTCGATTTATTTTCTGAGTTTACCCGTGAGCTTCGTTTGTTTCTTAAAGAAGTGACACTGATTTCTTTTTTTTTTCGTTTTATTTTCAGAGTTTACGAAGCGGTGCGGGAAAAGCATGGATATCCACGGTGGAAGTTCGTGAGTAAACCGATTGTTTTGTAGTATAGATCGCTGCATATGCTTCAACATGAAATAGGTTGAAATTTTCGAATGTTTGTTATTGTTTATTTGCTTATTAAAATTATGTTCACTTTTTTGACAGGGTCACTACCTCGGCCGCCGCGGCGAGAAACAACAAGTAAGCTTGTTAAGTTTAAATAATATCTGTTTAACCTTATGTGCCTAGCTAACTTCATCTTTGACACTCAGTTTTAAACTAGGATCTTTAACAGTCATAATATGTTAACCTATGATTTTTTTCTCATTTGCATTTTAGTGAAACTTTTCGCTGGACAAGCGATAAAGATTATACTTTGGTGAAAGAAGTTCGATTTCTCGAACCGTACCTGTACAAAAGTGGATCTAAACTAGCAGGGCAAAAATGGAAAGAGGTGGCAGACAAAGGCTTCACGAAGTTCGTGAAATGACATTTTTCACACGATGACCGTCGATAAGTGATTCAACCGTAGCAGCTTGCTTGTTTACAACCTTAATCTCTCTTTTTCTCGCGCCAAACGGTTCGATTCGTACTCGATCCAATCCACCATCGACCTCTCCTGCTCGTCCAACCGTAGTCATTCAACCGTAGTGCTCGATCTTAAATTCCCTATTAGCTTGGTTCAACAGCGACAAGCGTATCAAGTACATGTATGACAGTGTATGACAGGACTTGTCAACGATCAATTAAAATAATTAGCGTAGAAAAAACTTTTGCACTCCATAAGTCTGCACAGAAAAACATTTTTTCCTGGAACTTTTTTTAAAAGAAAGCTCTTGATGAGCTCTATTTAATCGTCTAAAAATTGCAAATTTAGAAAAATGATGATTTTTTACCCTGGATGATACCTTAAGAAGTTTTGATGCTTATCCCCAGTACAGTAAAGGTCACCCGTAAAGGGTACGGGCTCGATCCCGACGATCTTACGGAAATGTAGGGGACAGTGGACAGTCTACTTAAATCCTGTCGGCCCTATAATGCTTAACATGCATAACTAGCAGTTCCTACCTCCACAGACTTTGCAGCTGTGTTTACAGTTGGTATTCATGTACCCAGGGTTACACTGGCAGTGTCCGTCTTTCGCCCATAAAGGGCAGTTGCCATTTTTGTCCATGCAGGAATCTATGGACAAAAGAAACAAGAACATAGAGGCAGTAAAACCGTTTTTACATTACAAAAGTACGTCAGAAGCAATAAGCCTTTTTTCTCACCCAAAAGACCTGAACATTGTCCAAATGAACTGCGGAATTTTTGGCTGGGTAACACNGGGGAAAAAAAGGGGGGGGGGGGGGGGGGGGGGGGAAGAAGCGACTAACAAATTCGCCTTTCCCTCTTCACCAGTTTTGCTTCCATTACTCCCCCCTTGTGCAATGCGCTCGTTCCAATCATCCCTCTCTCGCGCTTCTCGCTTGTCTCCAGCTCTCGCGCTTCTCGCTTGTTCCGTGCTTCTCGCGAAGCCTTGGGAAAGCCTGTGGAGGAGGCAGACAGCTGACGTCATGGGGAAAGACGTGACTTTGGAAAAAATACTTTAAATACTTATTATGCCGCCCAAAATCAATGAGGATTCTACGACTGCAAGCTTGGTCACTGGTATTATTTGCTACCCTCATGTCCCCCTCTCTTTATTTTCTTTTGGTTTGTATTTATTCTCTCTTTGTGTACTATTTGTTATGTGTTTGCTATTCTCGGCAACAAAATAGCGCTTTAGAATATGTATTTGACTTAAGCGCTATACAAATAAAATATCTTTATCTTTATATTTACATCTGCAAATAACTGAAAGCTTTACCTGAACTGCACATATCACAAGTCACAGGACACCAATACAACATATTATCCGCGTGCTCGGTACACAGGCCATCTTTCTTATATGAAGCACAGCTACCCGATTTATCAGTGCGCTGGTTACCTGTGAAAAACAATGAAGTTTAAATTCTATGTCATTACAGTCTGTAGTCACCCCGCTCCACGGACACCCGTATATAACGGACAGTTTCATTTGCCCCTAATATATTCTCTTTACTATTTACCCGCTTAATACGAACAGCGGTTAATAAGAACACAGGTTGGACTTTTTGCTGTGTCCCGAGTCACAAACTCCCATGCATCATCAACCCCACCTTACGAACACTGTTTATCTGCGCACTGTTTATGAATGAATATTTTAACAGTGAAAACTAGCGTTTCCTTCCGAAAAGTTTGTCTCTCCGGGGAGAGATGAAATCGGAGCTGCGAGAGCAGCAGAAATAGAGTTCAGTCCAGAATAAAACGCAAGAAAATCCAAATTTACTCAAATAACATAATTTTTGTTTGCGTTATACTATACTTAAGAAAAATAGTTATTTATAGTTAACTCTTACGTCCTAAGAGCTATCAGCATCAAATTTCCCCTTAAAATATCTTTGCTTGATAAAACATAGTGGTACCGAGAATTAAGGACTGGATCAAAAAAGATAAGTTATATTATTACTTGTCTTTTACAACTTCTTCCCAATGCTTCTTTAGCGAATGTAAAGAGACAACAAATGAGAATTTGATATTAGAGTTTAAAGGGTTAATTATTAGTAATACTTACTTCTTTTCTGCACTCGAGGCACTGGCTTAAATGAACTGAATCCATCAATGGCTCTCTTTGCCATGACAACTGAAAAATAAAATTTAACACGTCATTGCATCAGTATTTTGCTAATTTTGTCAAGTATTCTTAGTTTGCCTTCTTGTTTTGATTTTGCTCAACCTGTCAATACAGGCGTCTGTCCTCGCTCCTGGTCTCTCCTCGCTCCGAAACGCCCCTAGCGGCGAGGAGCGAGAAGCGAGGACAGAAGACAGACGGCTGTATTCGAAGGCTTATTTTAGTTTATGTTGGCGGGTGATCCCATCGATTTTCAAGTTTAAAATTGAACTAAGGATCAATTTAGGTTTCTGGGAAACTGCCCACCTCGCCCTCCCCTAAGCCATCATTTTGCCCTTAGTGAGAAGTAAGTGTTAACGTTAGCTTAGGGGAGGGGTAGGTGGGCAGTTTCCCAGAAACGTAAATTAATCCTGAACTACAACATCATGATATTCATTTGATTTCTTGATTACGTTTTGTGTCTGCTTGTATTCTGGATTCCAATCGTTAAGTGGGATTCAGAATTCCTTGAGCTGTTTTCCGGATTCCACAAGTAAAATTTCCCTGGATTCCGGATTCCGCAAGCAAAAATTTCTCAGATTTAGTAATCCAGATTCCGTTACATAGGGCCACTGTTTCTACAAATTATTTGGAACGTAACGGATTTTTCGTTGCTTTCTGTTTTCTTAACAAGAAATAAATGCCGTGTTTACTCACAACAAATGCAGTGTTTTCTTACCGTTGCACTTGTACATGGCATTTGTCTGTCTTGCATCTCCATCACTTAATACGATGTAAGGTGTTTTTCCTTGCATATCAACAATATTGCGGATGGTGGGTTTGCCATTTTTAGAGAAAGCTGTGAAGGGATAGTGCATGATAGAGGCAAAGTCGTACGGCACTTCGAAATCTACCACCTCCGTGTTCCATTTACGCTTTTCAAACGCAAAAAAGAGAAAAAAAACCGTAGACGGTTTTTCTTGCAGGTGCTTTTAAATGACCGGGGTATTACACCTTCCAATCAAAGTATCGTGAAATAACTTTCATTAATTTTGAGACTTTATTCTGCGTGTTCCTAATGAATTCAAATATGTAGACGTTTGCTACATTTTCCTCGATCCAAACCACTAGTTCACCATCCTGGCTTAAAATCGAGCAAAGTGTTAATTTGTGACTTGGATTTTGAAAACTTTCAAATAATTTGCAAGTATACTTCTGCTACTAAACAGTCATAATGCACTTTGAACTTAATGTAGAATCCAAGATTAATATAAAGAGATTAATAATATCTGATGATGGAGAAAAGGCTAAATAGAAAAGGGGCAATCAATACATTTTCTCGTACAAAATGATAAATTAGTCTTGGACTTCATCTGTCGAGAGGTGAATTGGTCCATAGTCCGTGAAAGCACTCTGGATTTGTTATATCATATTTTCACTTGTAAATCATGAAACAGGTCAATACCTTTTTTATTTTCCTCGACAATGTAAAATGAGAGAAGGAAGTTTAGTTCGGAGTTTATCATACTGGGAAAAATCTTTTCTAATAGTTACCATCTAAAACATTTTTCCATATGACACTGATGTAATTATCTCGATCTGGCCTGCTCTGCTCGTGCCAGAATCCAACTGTGTGACCTAACTCGTGTTCCATCACGTGTTGGAAATCACAGTTATCGCCGATGGAGATCTGGGTCTTGTAGCCATGATGACCCACGTGACCCCAGCAACTAAGAATAATATACAAAAAAGAACGATTGACAAGAGCATGATTCAAAATTGGAAATTAAAAATGGTGAAACAAAGAAAATCCGTCGTCATTGACTTCGGATCTTCAGAAGTAAATACCTCCACGAAAAAAATTGCGAAAGAGAACGAGGGAGGAAAAGAAAAGGAGTTAAAAAGTCAAATTATCGTGCGCAAACGAGGGTTGAACTTCATTTGCCTTTTTCAATTTTTGCTTTGAATTACTTTAAGAATATATTGATGATTTGAGAACTGACTAAAACAAAATCTCGATCC